CCCACACCTTCCTGTTGTCACCCCCACACCTTCATGTTGTCAATCCCCCTCTTTCTGTTTTCAATGTCCCCCCCTTCTTGTTGTCAACCCTTCTCTTCCTGTTGTCAATTCCCCCCTCTTCCTGTTGTCAATTCCCACTCTTCCTGTTATCAATTCCCACTCTTCCTATAGTCATTCCCTCAATTCATCTTGTCAATCCCCCCCCCCCCTGTTGTCAATTCCCTCTTTTGATCAACTTATCCCATTCATCATGTCCCTCAAGTAGTCTCCTCTCCTAGACCACGTCACAGAACATTGTATTCTTATTATCAGGAGAAAAGGATGTGGAGCAGAAAAAACAAGATGAGAAGACGGAGCAAGAAATTCCTCCGTTGTACTTCATGAATCTTAAACTTGTTGTTCCTGGATGTAATGAAACAGTTACTGTACAGGTAACTTACTCATTTGAGTTCTCAAAAATTCTCAACAACTGAGAGAGTTTGGGAGAATTTGTAAAAAACGATTTGTAAATAATCTTAATTAACATTCTTTTAAATTGGGCAAACATAAATTCTGTATTTTCTTGTATTTTCTGTATTTTCATAAATTCTGTAATTCTGTATTCTGTTCCTTCAATAATCCACCGCGTTTACCAAAGATTCTTTTATTCTAGATATCTTCTCACGAAACAATCCAAGATATACGTCAGGTTGTGTTAGATCGTCAAGAAAGTTGCTTCAGAACGTGCGTTTCGCTTCATTTTGATGGCAAACGATTGGATGACTTTGCTGAACTTCATACAATTGAGGGATTGAAGGATGATTCTGTTGTCAAGATTGTTGAAGGTTTGATGCTTTTCCAGATTTTTCTCTTGATTATCCTTAACATTTAACAAAGCTTTCAAGTATGGGAGTAAGGGTGTGGCATTGAAGAGAAATGTTTTTCTTCGGTAAAAATGTTGCAGATCCAACCATTAAAAAGTCAAAATTTTTTATCCTACTTAAATATCAATGGACCTATTACCTATAATAACCAAAATTTTGATCTCAACAAGTCTAGACAAAAATTTCACCACAGCTTGAAAGAGCATCACAAAATTAGTAATATTCCGACGTTTCGTTGCGAAATGTTGTAAAATGCGGATAATATAGCCTTGCGAAGTTTGCCGTTTTTCAGTCATTTTGTATTTTACGCACGGGAATTTGGTACCGCTTTCTGAAAAAAGGTATCAATTTCCCGCGCGTAATACAAAATGACTGAAAAACGGCAAACTTCGCAGGGCTATATTATCCCCATTTTACAACATTTCGCAACGAAACTTTGGAATATTACTAATTTTGTGATGCTCTTTGAAGCTGTGATGAAATTTTTGTCTTGACTTGTCTATAGATCAAAATTTTGTTTGTTGGGGAATAGGTCCATTAGGCTATATATTTTCAAGTAGTCTAAGTTTCTGTTTTCATTTCAGAATCGTATTCAGTTCGAGAAGCTCGTATTCACGTGAGACGGTTGCGAGATTTACTGAGTACATCATTTGAAAATAATGCGCATAATGCTGCTGATAACTTATCTCTCTCGTTTTCTGTCGCTGTCTCTGGTGTCGAAGTTGAAGGTATAGCATATGATTATTATCTATGGATATATAATCGATTATAAATTATCAAGTATAGGAAACTTAGTTGTTTGAGCATTGTAATTAGTTCTACATGTATAGTTAATTAAATAAGAAATATGTGTTTCAATATTTTTATGATGTTGTGGTTGATTTACACTATCGAACTCTTTGTGATCACAGTGGCCCATGAGCTTATTTCCAGAGATTGTAGGGTCTTAGCCAGAGGGGAGGGGGCTACATTTGCAAGTTGAAAAAATTGCTCGACTGTCGTGGGAATCAAACCGGCGACCTTTAAGGCCATGTTACACGGTGCAATTTTTCTTGCAACTTGCAATGCAATTCTACTCTTGAGAGATGTAAAATTGCCAAATACGAGTATTCATTACACTCAGCTGATGTTTTCTAGTCAACATATCGAAAATTCTTCACTGATTTCACTAATTAACATCTCTCAAGAGTAGAATTGCATTGCAAGTTGCAAGAAAAATTGCACCGTGTAACATGGCCTTTAATTGCATTCTTGTTGTGTTGTATTTTCAGAGGAAGTGATAAAAACCAAACGGGATACTAACAATACAGTACCCACAGAGGAATGTACACCACCTGATCATGTCTTTCCTTCTGAAGAACAACCTCTCTCTATTGGCGCATTGTTCCCTAAATCCGTCGCACCTAAGGTAAGGAACATTGAAGACCTAACCAAAGCAAACTGTAGCGATTCACAGTACAGTAAGGACTCTTTGTGAAATATGGAGGGGGGGGAGGTTTAGGTTGCTTATACAATCTTATTTTTCAAGAGGAGAGCGCTGACGCTCAATGGGTTAAAGTTCATTCTAATATATAGATTAATTTATAGATTATCAATGCTTTTATGGTTGAAATATTAGTGTTACAGCTTTGTTACACACGCAGTTATTCAGCTATCATTCAAAGTCTTTCAGAAATGATTGGCCAATCAGTAGACATATTAACATATATTTTATTAATCTTGCATTTTATTCTATTTTTAGGTGCCAATCTGTGTGAAAGAGATATCTTTGAGTAGCTGGAATCCACCTCCCGGACATCGTAAATTAGCGGGTAAGGGGGAAACCGTGTCTAAATTTCGTCTCTTTTACCCCCGTCCTCTATTTTGCTAACTTTCGTAATAAGCCCCCATACGTGCAGTCACGGACAACTTCCCTTCCACAGAAAACGGTTCGCTTCCACGGAAAACGGTTCCCTTCCACAGAAAGCGGTTCCTTTCAATAGAAAACGGTCCCCTTCTCCAGAAAACGGTTCCCTTCTCCAGAAAACAGTTCCCTTCAACAGAAAACGGTTCCCTTCAACAGAAAACGGTTCCCTTCTCCAGAAAACGGTTCCCTTCAACAGAAAACGGTTCCCTTCTCCAGAAAACGGTTCCCTTCAACAGAAAACGGTACCCTTCAACCGAAAACGGTACCCTTCTCCAGAAAACGGTTCCCTTCTCCAGAAAACGGTTCCCTTCCACATAAAACGGTTCCCTTCAACAGAAAACGGTTCCCTTCCATGACAGGGCGAGTACAAGGGGGTACACCCACCACGACAAATACAACAATTCATAATATTTTCAGCGTGCACTTGTTGATGTTAACTTGGTTTGGGGAGAGAGGAGGCGTATCTAAATCTTCTTAAATATGGAGGGACACGCCCCTTACACTCCTACCCAAGAAAATCTGCGTGCGGATTCCCAATATGCTGTATTTTGTTTCAGGTGATTTGCTGTATATCGACGTGATAACTCTCGAAGACGATCACGTGAACGTCACGTCCTGTCCATCGGGCTTCTTCATAAACAGGTAAACCCGCCTCGCATTTACTAAATGCTGGTTCACACTATCAAAGTTTCTGTGATCACAGTAAAAAGTTTGCATTGGTAAATTTTGAAGCATTTGTAAGAACTGTTTGAGAAAACTCACTCCAAGTCCGTTCTCTCAAACATTTCTTACAAATCCTTCAAAACTTAGAATTTACCCATGCAAAATTCCTACTGTGATCACAGAAACTTTGATAGTGTAAACCATCCTTTATAACACTCAGTAAGTTCCCTCAAACATTTCTTACAATTCCTTCAAAACTTAGAATTTACCTATGCAAAATTCCTACTGTGATCACAGAAACTTTGATAGTGTAAGGCAGACTTTATAACACTCATTAAGTTCCCTCAAATATTTCTTACAAATCCTTCAAAACTTAGAATTTACCCATGCAAAATTCCTACTGTGATCACAGAAACTTTGATAGAGTAAGACAGCCTTTATAACACTCATTAAGTTTCCTCAAACATTTCTTACAAATCCTTCAAAACTTAGAATTTACCCATGCAAAATTCCTACTGTGATCACAGAAACTTTGATAGAGTAAGACAGCCTTTATAACACTCATTAAGTTTCCTCAAACATTTCTTACAAATCCTTCACAACTTAGAATTTACCCATGCAAAATTCCTACTGTGATCACAGAAACTTTGATAGTGTAAGACAGCCTTTATAACACTCATTAAGTTTCCTCAAACATTTCTTACAAATCCTTCAAAATTTAGAATTTACCCATGCAAAATTCCTACTGTGATCACAGAAACTTTGATAGTGTAAACCAGACTTTATAACACTCATTAAGTTTCCTCAAACATTTCTTACAAATCCTTCAAAACTTAGAATTTACCCATGCAAAATTCCTACTGTGATCACAGAAACTTTGATAATGTAAACCAGACTTTATAACACTCATTAAGTTTCCTCAAACATTTCTTACAAATCCTTCAAAACTTAGAATTTACCTATGCAAAATTCCTACTGTGATCACAGAAACTTTGATAGTGTAAACCAGACTTTATAACACTCATTAAGTTCCCTCAAACATTTCTTACAAATCCTTCAAAACTTAGAATTTACCCATGCAAAATTCCTACTGTGATCACAGAAACTTTGATAGAGTAAGACAGCCTTTATAACACTCATTAAGTTTCCTCAAACATTTCTTACAAATCCTTCAAAACTTAGAATTTACCTTTGCAAAATTCCTACTGTGATCACAGAAACTTTGATAGTCTAAACCATCCTTTATAACACTCAGTAAGTTTCCTCAACATTTCTTACAAATCCTTCAAAACTTAGAATTTACCTTTGCAAAATTCCTACTGTGATCACAGAAACTTTGATAGTGTAAACCATCCTTTATAACACTCAGTAAGTTTCCTCAAACATTTCTTACAAATCCTTCAAAACTTAGAATTTACCTTTGCAAAATTCCTACTGTGATCACAGAAACTTTGATGGAGCAAACAAGACTTAAAGTTACCTTTGCATATTCAAACTGACGAAGATCGGAGAACATCGACAAAGCCTAAAAAGAAGGTAAAGTGATAGATTTTAGCAAATCTCAAAACGAACTTGCTGCTTATACGGCGTTTTAATTTTTGGTAAGGTACCTTTTCCTCATTACCAGTCTTCTTGTAAAGTTTCGCGGCCTCTTGAAATTTCCCCTGATAAGCATAGATGTCTGCTAGAAACGCCAAGCTTTCTGTTTCACCTCGCTTTTTCCTCTCCTGAAAATAAAGTTGATAAAAGCTGGGTGAATAAAACATTTGGTATTAAATATGTTGGTGCAATCTTCACACTAAAGGCGTAGCATTTTCTTTTGTGCCGAAGTCATTGGTTCCACTCTGGTGTTCAGAAAACAAAGAAATACGCTGCGCTTCGCTACGATACGGTTGATGTGGAAAAGATACTTAAGAATCATTATTATGTTCAAATACAATTGCAGCACTTCCACTAAAGGATGGTTCACACTAACAAAATTTCTGTGATCACAGTAGAAATTTTGCATAGGTAAATATTAAGTTTTGAAGGATTTGTAAGAAATGTTTAGGACTTAGAAGAATTTACTAATGCAAAATTCCTACTGTGATCACAGAAACTTTGATAGTGTAAACCATCCTTAATAAGAATCATTATTGTGCTCTGCAAATACAAACCTCGATATTTTGAAGAAGCTCCAAATATTTGAGATCACGAACTCTTGTAAAAGCCTAAAATAACAAGAAAGGTTTAAGAATTATATAAAGATAAGAAATATAGAGGCCAAGCACAAAATTGCTTGCCCAACTCCTCAGAACAAACAATGAAAGCCTCTGTTGGGCTACT